AGGTTCTGATTCATTTTTATGACACATTGGAGATGGAAGTCCATGAGTAATCGCATACTGTTCTAAATATTTTTTTACAGGAAAAGTAACACTTGAATCAAGAAATACTTTACTTTCTCTTTTAGCTGCATGTTCAGAATTACCATGAATTCGTTCTACTAATCCTTTACTATATAAATGATCTTGTAATGTTGAAAGAATATATTCATTTATACTATAAAGCTTTAAAAAAGCAGGTTTACAAAGTGGATAAGATGAATTATAGGCATATCTAAAATTATGTTTTTTTTTTTGAGCTTCTTCTAATTTAATATTTGTTATTTCAAATGCCATTAATTGTGCTTTTAAGAATAAATCAAGTTCAGATTTTTCTAGAGCACATATTGTAAATGTCTTTCAAAAAAATTTTTAAAGCCTACTTTTTCATAGCATGTTCTTAAATCTTTTGATTTGGATTTTGACTGACATTTGCAATTTGATTGATTAAAAAATTGCATTAAGTCATGTACAGTATTAAGAACTAATTCATTATTTTCATATTCTTCTAAATCTAGTTCTATTAAATTATAAACTGGTTTAGAATCTAAATTTAAATCTTTGTTTAATGACATTAAAATTGTTAAATAAGTTTTATTCAAATTTAATTGTTTAATAATAGGCTACATATAAAATCGGTTTAAAATTAACAAGAAATTATAAAACAAATAGAGTTTTTTAGAAAGTTACTTTTTGTTTGCTAAAGCCAAATAGATAAGCAAATAATTATAGTATTATTCAAGTATTATTCAAGTATATATATACTATATAAGTTCTTTCACAGCAAAATCATGCTTTGAGTGTATAGCTCTAAGCATGATTTTGCTATAAAAAAAACGAATCAAATAGACAATTTCCCAATATAATAGTGTAGAAAATCTCTATTTAACAGATTAATACTAGTAGATATTTAGAAAGGATATTTAATAAACCTATTATTAGAATAATTTCTAAAACTATGTATATGTATATAAAAAAAGATGCATTGCAGAGATGATAATATTTTGCATTTCATGGAATGCCGCAAAATCACGAATTCAGATAGTAATCGCAGAATGTGTCAAAAGTATTATGAAAATGTTGCAGAAAGTAGAAATATGGTATGAAAATATCGCAGAAAGTAGAGATTTATAAGTACACAATCCAAACATATCCCTTAGATTGTAACACAGGCAAATTTGCCTGCATATTTTAAAATTTTTAATAAAATTTTAAATATTGA